AAGCTCGGTTTTGTTGTGATCGGAAATTGTGGTGTGCTTGCATGGCGAAGGATGGTGTGGATAAATTTTCTTATAGGGAAGCATAGTTGCTGCGCATCTATGCGCTGCGTGATTCGCAGCGCGCCCCCGGGCGGCACACATACTGATGCGTGATGCGCCGCACAACACTTCGATGAGCAGCGCGCCAGTGCGAATGGGGGTCCGAAATCCAAGAACTATCTCCAACTTGGGTTTACCAGTTCTCGCACACAGTCGCCAAGAAAACAGCCATGCGTTAGTATTCACTTCCTTTCTCATTGCCTACTCCAATCCGGACTCCCCTTTGATATCGAATCAAGACCCGAAAAGTGTCACTCTAAATGGGTACGCCTTACGTCAAAGCAGAACGATGGGGCTATGGCCAAAGGCGATATCTCAAATCAACACCGCCATCCAGGACTTGGAGTTTGATCCAGCCGAATGAGGCTGGCAACCGAAGAAAGGTAAACGAAAGAACCTGATAGTACCAATATCAGAATACACAGTCAAATTAGGGTATGAGATGTTGCTGAAGACACAAAACCCAGAACCGGCAATTAGATGTAGATGTACAAGATTGTTAGGGATGAAGCAAAGTTAGCAAACCAAATTTCTGAAATACCGTGGAAAAAGTTCAAAACAATACGGCCAGTCAAGGTGAGAAGTCTCCAGTGGCTCATCACATATCTAACACCATGAGTCAACCACTGGCTACATATCAGGAGAAGGAAAAATGATCCTGAAAGCTCGGATATATGCCTACCGTCTTCACCTGAAAATAACGCCCGGGTGGTATATTCAACTTACTCTAAAAAGACGAGATTCTCGTTTTCACTCACTTTTTTCCAAATAGAAAGGCCCTTCGAATAGAACGCCTGGGCGTTATATTTGAATGTTACATGGGCAGAGTGCCTTGAAGAGGTAGTATACATCTGTTTTAAAGGGCGGGGAAGGGGGTATACATGCGTTTTGAAGAGGGTTGAATGGGATTTGACTTCCAAGGGGTACATACTACATTTTGGCTTTAGTTTTCGTTTTTAATTTTGATTTACGAGTTTATAAGGAATTCTGAAGTGACCCTCAGCCAAAAGTTGATCACATTCCAATCCTGGACAACATATTGTTTTTACAGAATGTTTTGATTTATTTTCTTTTTCGGAATTTTGGGGGCTCACCGAAGTTCACCACAAATTTACTGAATATAACGCCCGGCGGGCGTTATATTCGTACACATACTACACAACACCCGGCCGATATTTTTGGGTGAAGACGCCAAGAACAAGAAGACATAATACACCATCTGATTAGGTGTAAAGCTGCAACAGAAGTATGGGCAAGGTTCTCTGACTTATGGGACCACCTCTTTCCTCCCTCGTTCCCGGAACACCCCATTCAACTCCTATGGACTAACATCCACTCCGATTTGACCAAGCCAGAAAACTGTGGTCCGGATTGATTCATAAAGCCACTTTATGGGCAATCTGGAAGGAGAGATGCAGCAGGACTCTGGACAAGACTATGAATGCACATGATAAAGTCTGGGCTGCTACAAAGATCATGATGGAAGCAGAGATTCTCTGCAAATGGAGGAAGGTTAAGGAGACTGTTCAGAGCTATTCGGACACAAGTCAGCTACGTCTGACAAAGTTCAAAAGAATCTGGCTAGCGCAGGGCAAGGTGGCAGATATTAACGACATGCGGCTGAAATTCAAGGACTGGCACCACTCAGAGACTCCATTACGGAGACAGGACACCCAAATAGAGAGGCCTCAGGATGGAAGGTCGCCTTCTGATGATTCTTGATGTGAATTGCCTGAACTGACAGGCCCATGCAAGGGACCTGAGAGGAATATATGAGAAGGACAAACTGACAGTCAATCCTCCTGTAACAGGGAGCAATCAATGCTGGTCAGGGATCCTTTGGCCAAACGGAAGGATGCGTGAGTGTGCATATTATGTATCTGAAATTCTGAATTTATTGACTTGCCGGGGGAATAGGAATCAGACTGATGCTCCACATGGCGCTCCCTGTCAGCGTTTGGCTGTATGAGCGCCGCAGCCACAATCAGAGGGATCGCATCAACCAGAAGTGCAAACTGTGTACGGATGAGGAGATGGAAACCTTGCTTAACTGCCTGCTACAATTCCCAGAGGCGGTATATGTGTGGGAGGTAGCCAGGGAAATGTGGCGAAAGATTTCAGATGAGGCCTTTCCCGAAGACAGGAGGATTCTCCTCACTGGTATGGAACTTCCAAAGAAACGGCAATCGGGACAAAAAAGAGGATTTCAACTATTGAGACAATACACTTTATGGATCATATGGAAAAGAAGATGTCAAACGACGATAGGAAGGGGGCAAATGCACAGACTGGAGGCCAAGAAAGTTCTAAACAACCTGCTGGAGATGGATATCACGGCCCAATGGCGAAGAACAAGAAGGCAAGCCCAATGGAGAAAGCCCAGGAGACATTTAAAACGTTTCAACGGGTTACATTGGTAAAGGGTAAGATAGCAACAATTGAAGGATCCAGATTAGTCTTTCACTGGTTTGAGAATACAGAGCAACGTGATCAAGAATAGGACGTCAGATTCGTTAAGGTAGTACTTAAAAATCAAGACAGCATTACAGCTGAGGGTTTAGGGTTTAAGGTTTAGGCAGAAACAAGGCAAATAGGGCTTAGGTTATATATATAAAAAAAAAGAAAGACTGGCACAACTCAGAAGCAGAGTGGAGAAGGCAGAGATCCCAGCCAGCAGAAGGACAACATCCATCACAGGTCACATAATATCGGAGGGCGAATCCCGAGACTGCAACTTCCGTAGCTTCTCTTACCTATCTTGCTCTTCATCATTTATCTGACAGGCTCATGTAGTGGACCTGAGAGGAAAGGTGTAAGGCAAGCTGACAGTCAATCCTCCACGATGCGGGAGTAATCAATGCTGGTCAGGGTTCCTTCGGCCGGACGGAAGGAAGCGTGAGTATGTGTTATGATGTAATACCAGGGGACGTGTTGCGGCTACGCCCGCAATAAAAATGGAATGTTTGCCAAGAAGTTGATCTCTCTCTCTCTCTCTCTCTCTCTCTCTCTCTCTCTCTCTCTCTCTCTCTCTCTCT